CCGTTCCAGATATAGTTCGGTATCTATAGTCCTCTTCAGCGATGGCTGCGCACAAAGCGCTCGTCATTTTCCTTTAACCTTTTTACTTTCTCTTTTTCCGTGAAACGACAAATAAAGTATCGCGAACGGGTGGTTATATTTACCCGTTGGATTTCAATTTGAAATGCAACGATATGAGGATCCACGAGGAGAGAGAAAGAACGCGAGACATTCTTCGCGCGGCGATATCGCACCGTGTTAAGAGACTAATGGATTTATCAGCGGAACGTTTTCATTACGTCGTGATTTTCATGTTAACACGTTGCTAAACGTTTCGACGGAGTTGATTCATTACCCGCCGATTACGTTAACGCCTTCGGGAACACTATAACGTGCTTGAATAATTCATCGGTCGACGCGTGTAGGCTCTTGTGTCGACTTGTAACATCATCACGCTTGAATTGCTCTTTCTTTTTTAAATCTTCCACGACACACAGGTCAACTCAAAGAGTCGCTTCTTTTTAAAGATCCTTGGAATTCGATTGGTTAGGTGTCAAAGACTCAAAGCAGCGTTAGAGCTTCGAAGCTATTGAAGCTAGATAAAATTCAAGGACAATCTTCCGAGGAACTTAGAACTTAAAGACTCAACCTTCATATTTCTCATTTACTCAATCGTCCTATTCACAGCTTCAAAACCACTACAACCCATAAACATAGCAGACAATCTCAAAAAATCTTGAAAAACCTCAGCATCCGAATCATTAATCACACCAACTACATCGCATTCGAAAGCCCAAACTCTCCTCTTTGATTCGACACCTAAATCATCGACATCACAAACCCCGTGCATCATTCCCGCCAAAAAGACCATCGGACGCTAGTGAAAGCCGGTCGAGCGGCGCCTGTAAAAATGGCGGCCGGAGCGGACGTCCGCGTGGAAAGTGCGCCGTACCACGGGGAAAGTGTTGCGAAGAGATTGCGGCGGTTGCGATGACTCAACCGCTGTGTGTCAATGTATCCGTACACCCCGGTATCTCGCGAACGTCGCACTTTAACAGTGGAACTACCAGATAAGTCAAAATGACCCATTCCTAAGTTCTTTTACAATTATTGGAAAAACAGATCCTTCTAAGACATTCCTAAAGAAACTGTTCAGTAATACGCAAACTAAGTTACTCGTGATCGAAGTCTCGATAGATGCTCTTAGGGTTTCTATAGAAGAATTTTGAGAAGTCAACTTGAGTGCTGGGTAGTTCTAATGTTTGCACGTTTAAGTACAAATTTTAATGATCCGAAAAACGGAAAACGCAAACGCGATCGGGCCGAGATCAGGTCGGGATACATAACGTGAACACGTGTTTTATAAACAACTGAAGAATATTCAAGAATATTCAAACTGACCGATAGTGTGTATCGAGCCTAAGAGTGCGACAGCGTGCAAGGGGCCGATAAAACC